TACGAGGATAGAGGTGGAGTGAGTAGTGAGAGGGGAGTGGAGATGATTTATATTAAGGAGATGAAAATATGCAGACTTGGTCTGGTTATTACTGATATGAAACTGGAAAGAGTGAGCTGTCGAGGATGACATCAAAACTCTTAACCTGAGGAGAGACTGAAGTGCCATCTACAGTGTAGGGAGATGGAGTGAGATTTAGAGAGTGTAGATTTGGTGGCAGCAAGAAGAATTTTAGCTTTGTCACTGTTAAGTTTTAGAAAATTAGAAGTAAACCAGTTTTTTATTTCAGAAAGGCAGAAAGTGGAAAGGGGGAGTGGGGAGTTGGGCTTGCTAGAAAGGTAGAGCTGGGTGTCATTCGCATAGCAATGGAAGTGAATATTGAATTTATGAAAGATGTTGCCAAGTGAAAGGAGCTAGATTAGAAAGAGAAGGGGCCCCAGGACAGAGCCCTGGGGAACACCTGTGCTAACTGGGGAGGACTGTGACCTGAAGCTTTTGAGTTGAATGAACTGAGTGAGCCCAGAAAGATATGAGTGAAGGCAGTCAAGGGGAGTGTGAGTGACACCGATGGAAGATAATCTGTTGAGAGTGATATATTGTACCGAATGCTGCACTCAGATCGAGAAAGATGAGAATACTGACGGATCCAGAATCAGCTGCCATAGGGAGATCATTTGTGATTTTGATGAGTGAAGTTTCTGTGTTGTGATGGGACTTGAAACCAAATTGTTCGTAAAAGTTAACATGAGTGAAATGGGAGTGGAGTTCGGTCGCAACAATTTTTTCTAGAATTTTTGAAATGAAGTTAGAAAAGGGGCGAAAGTTATTGAAATGATAGGGATCCAGACCAGATTTTTTCATAATAGAGGTGACAGCTGCAGTTTTGAAATGAGATGGGACAATTCCAGTGGTAAGTGAGGAGTGGTAAATGGAAGATATGAGGGGGACTAGAGATGAAAGGCAGGATTTGACCAAACCTGTGGGAATGGGATCGAGCTGACATGTGGAGGATTTGGATTTCAAAATTAGATTATTAGAATTAGTCTAGATTAAGAAAGGTGTAGATGACATCATTAGCCTTCATTAAAAAGATCTGAAAACTTCATTAAAACGATCAGTTCAGAACTTCACTTACCTGTCATGGCCAACAGCTGCTACTGAACACATCAAAGTACGAGGCCATCTAGACGTACAAAGAAAGACACTAGTTTTATACATGACTGTATGAAATGTCAAATATACATCAAAATGGAGACCCGAATAACTGCCCTTTAAGGAAATACCGTTTACTATAGTTTACGGTCTCGAGCTGCATTTCAGGGTCGAGATAAGCCTTGTGCTTAAAATCTGAGCTTATTTAATACTGATTTATTTATTATTGTATTAACAATAATATGTTTATTTTCTACTGATAGCAATTCTGTTCACGTTTTAATGTGGTGTTTCAGAACGATCTGTTTGTGTGTGTGTGTGTGTGTGTGTGTGTGTGTGTGTGTGTGTGTGTGTGTGTGTGTGTGTGTGTGTGTGTGTGTGTGTGTATTAAATTGTTAATAGAGACTTGTCAACTACAGCGCGTTGATAAGCAAATTCACATTTCACAGCGTTTCTTTTTCTAACAGGGACTTGTTCCTTCACATAAACATAATAGCTATTACAAGTTGTAATATTACATTTAATAATTAACTCACTAGTATGCTGTTAATGTCGTTACAGCACAGAAAAGCATTGTAAATTATCTTACCAAGTAGCTTCGTTGCCGTCCATACTATAGAGGTATAACAAAGAGCTTGTGTGGGCACATGCGCAGTCAATGTTGAGGATGCAAATATTTATTTTAGTTTATTTTTTGTACAGTTTATCATGATTTTGAGGTGGACGTTCAACTCGAGTTTCAAAATGTTAAATGTAGAACAATAATTTTCTTTTACATTATTAGTCAAACCTGAGAATAATGGCTAGAAACATGTACAACTACTCCTTCTTTTCTTCTTTTATTTATTTATTTATTTCTCCAAATGACTAACATTTTAAAGCATTGTCAACAAAATGAAAGCCTGTTAACAAAGTATGTATACTCTTTTGACATCAATGACACTGGGAAAAAATATTAGATCTTTAACTGAAATTGATACATGGATACGTTGATACAATTTATTATTTTTTTAAATAATGTATCTATAAAGTTTACTTTTTTTCAAATCCCCAATTGCCCCTAGACCTTTTTGTACACACATACTAAAAATGTACAACTCATGCTGCTTTTCCCAGTGATGGGTTGCAGCTGGAAGTGATATGCTGGATAAGTTGGTGGTTCCTTACGCTGTGGCGACCCCAGATTAATAAAGGGACTAAGCAGAAAAGCAAATGAATGAATGAATGAACTCATGCTGCTTTAACTGCTCACTGCTGCTATATTTTACATTCAAATGAGCCTCAACATTCTATGTCAGAGGTTATGTGATAGTTTAAAGGGCACCTATGGTGAAACAATTTGGACAGACATACTTATGTAGGTATAGTGTATAGACCTTCATATTGGGGGGATATAAACACACCCAGTCCTATTTTTTTTCCCAATTTAACAAAATAAAAACAGTTGACCAATTGGAGTGGTTTTGAGACAGACCGCAATTTGACGTGGGAGTGTGGTCCCCCCCCACCGAATTGAGGGACAGCTGTGTATTAATATGTGTCCTTAGTAATGCGTATAATCATATCAACAAGAAAGGATATGCGCAAAGCAACCGGGAATAAAAGGTCTGCTCAGTTTGCTAGGATCATCAATCATCATCAAACGTGATCAAGAGTGAGTTTTACAAGTTGACATTTTTTTAAACAGAGCATGTGTGTAATGAATAACATCGATTTACTTCATATTCTCTTCATCAGCACAGCCGCGTGTCAGAACAATTATAAAAGAAGACGCTTCAATCCCGGGTTGTGGACGTTAAATTAGGTTTATTTTCTACATTAACATAACAGATATCCATACAGCAGTGGATATTAACCTTTATCTTGCCACATTTGTGTAGTGCAAAGCTAAACGTGCACGCTGTCTGTGTGTGTGTGTATCTGTGTGCCAAAAGTATCTGGATGCAGCCTTTATGACGCAAGCTGAGATTGCATCACTCAGCGATGCAATTTCAGACACAATGCACTCAATGGAGTAAGTGATGTCACTGTGACGAGTAGGGTTAGGGGTGGGGTTAGGTGAGCATATTGAAAAGCATTGGATGCAGCTCAGATTGCACTGCATCAAGACCCCTCTAGTGTGTGCGTGCACTGTAACGTCATTGTGTTTGACTTATTGAAACTCCACAACAAATGCATCAAATGCTCATTGGTAAAGTACTTACAGTAGGATTTCTCACAAACGTTTCGTGAGATCTGCTTCCTTCTTGCCTGTCTGTTGTCTGAGGCAGACAAGGGCGGAGGAACACTGACAGGCACGTGAAATCGGTGGGCGTGAAGGACTAGCCTTAAAGGCACAGTTCACAAAAAACGATATGTGATCGGTCAGAACTATAAAATAGATACTTTTGAAAGGTATAAGAATAATCTGATGAGTGTGTTGAGCTGAAACTTTTCAAACACATTCTGGAGACACAAAAGACTTATATTAAATCTGGAAAAAGGGGTAAAAAAGGTGCCCTTTAAATGAACACAACTGTCTCTAAAGCCTTAAAGTCTGATCATTTGTATTTGAACTCTTCAATTTAATAAGTTTTATTAGATTAAGTAATTTGAGAAGTTCATCAGTCATCAGATTATACCGATTTCTGGCAGCTGTCTGTCATCAGGTTATACCACACTAACTGCTGCACCTCTGCCAAAGCTCTAAGACCCAGAGCTGTGAAGATCTGCCACCAGAAGAATGCTGCTGTGGAAGTATGACCCGTTACTCTGTGTCAGCAGGAAGAGCCCCTCTCCATATAAATGTAACTCTAGTGTACCATAGCCTTCATAAACGTCTGGTGAGATGATATTTGTTCCCTAATTATTTTATATTTTGTTAATTATTGCAGTTCCTTTTACAATCAGTAAAAAAACCTTAACATGTTCACTTGAATGCAAGAGGAGCCTTATAGATTTTTTAACAGATATCCAAATGAGAATCTATTTACCAACAATTATATAATTTGATTGGGTGGACCAACTGTCGGATTGAGTGGGCCAGTGCAACCTTTGACCTTAAAGGGATTGTTCACCCAAAATTAAAATTAAGTCATCATTTACTCGCCCTTTAATAGTTTCAAACCTGTTTGACTTTCTTTCTTATGGTGAACACAAAAGATGAGGTTTTGAAGAAAGCCTGTACCTGTTACTATTGACCTGATAGATAGACATAGATGGATGGATGGATGGATGGATGGATGGATGGATGGATGGATGGATGGATGGATGGATGGATGGACGGAGGGATGGATGGATGGAGGGATTGATAGATAGATAGATATACAGACAGACAGACGGATGGATGGATGGATGGATGGATGGATGGATGGATGGATGGATGGATGGATGGATAGATAGATAGATAGATAGATAGATAGATAGATAGATAGATAGATAGATAGATAGATAGATAGAAGCTATTTGTTTTTCTTTTATGGTTACACGTTTTCAGCTTTGTTCAAAATATCAATATGTCAAGTTTTCTTTTTTTGTGCTTAACATAAGAAAGAAATTCATAAATGTTTGGAACCACTTGATATACAGTAGTGAGTAAATTTTCATTTTTGGGTGAACTATCCCTAGCTGCTAGTTGCCACTGCAACACAAACATATTGTAAATACAATGTTACAATAGTTATTTTTCAAGCTCGTCCAACAGTCAGCAAAATAGTTTCCTCCTAAAACCCTGCAAATGTCAGTAATCATGACTCTCAATCACGTGACCCAATGTTTACCACACGCGTGCCACAATCATGTGATCATAATCGTCAGCTGACACGGAAGTCAAGTCACTTATTCAAAGAGCAGCTCTCGCCTCGATATACTTTATTACGTCGATTTATGCATGAAAGTAGCTTTTATTAATGTCTGTTTTAATTTTTATGTGTGTCTAGTATGAATCCTTACGTGACCGCGTTTATCGTGGCTCTCATCTGCGCGCTCTCCACCGGCGCCGCGCAACACCTGGAAAAAGGTAATAAACACAAAAACTCATTAAACTAAACTGGTTTAAAGAGACATTTGAAGTGCTGTCTGATTTATTTATTAAAACTTTAATTGTGATGCAGAAAATTGGCTGTCACACCGTCCAATTGAGTCCAACAGCACATCCAACTCCTCCGACCTGACTTATGGATTCATATCCTGCGCAGTGTCTGCGGTCTTCTTCGGTAGCAACTTTGTACCGGTGAAAAAGATTGAGACTGGGGATGGTCAGTCATTTTTTTCTTTTTGGTTTTGCACACTTTTGCCACCTTTTAGGCTTTTTTTAAATGTCACAGTAAAAGTTTATTGTAATTTGTACTACAAAGTGTCAACAGAAGAAAATGCAAAGTAATATTTTAGCAAAAGGGTAAGCACAAATAAGACTTATTCATTTTCATTGTATGGAGCAAAGATGGAATAAAAGTAAAAGGTGACAGTCCCTGATAATCACATTTTTGACAATTGTTTCATAGTAGGCTATTTGTGCTTCATGTGTAGTAGTAACTTGAAATTTAGCAACCTGGCAACTCCAGTAATTAATAAATCGTTTCAAATTCAGTCTTGGAACTTTTTAAAAAATGTAATCGTAAATGTACTTAACTATATGAGCTCTTACAGAAATCAACATGTGTATATTGCTTACTTTTAATAACTTCAATCCTAACTGCCTTTAAACAGACTTTATGGCATAGTTAATATTTTAGGTGCTCTTGGCATGTTTTTGTTTGTAAAGGTAGCTTTAACGTTTATTAAAATATTTACAGTATTATTGTAGACCATAAATATTGCTGTGTTACTTTGAAAGTGTTGCGACGTCTCATATTCCACAGGAAATAAATAAATAAATATATATATATATATATATATAATGTATTTATCAATTCAGTTCTAATAACTTATATTTGGGTCTTTTACATGTCATGGACACACAAAAATGATTATTCACATGCACCTATTTTTTATGTAAAAAACACATTAGTATTGTTAAAATTAAATTATGTGGAAAATAATTAGTTTTTATTTTTATATATGCAATGTTATTAACTATGCACTGTTATTAACATGTAAATCTACTTATATTTATTATAACCAACTCATTTTCCCAGTACTGGGTTATGGTTGAAAGGGCATCCGCTGCCTAAAACATATGCTGAAATAGTTGGCGGCTTATTCCATTGTGGCAACCTCTAAGAAATCAGAGACTAAGCCAAAGGAAAATTAATGAATGATCAACAGTTAATTTATTGTTTTAAATTGTTTTATTTCAATCTAGAATGTTGTGTTTGTTAATTCACTGTTAATAAAAACATTCATGAATTGAAATCAAATGCATTAATCTAAGCCCCAGTTTTAAGTGCATGCATTAAGCCCCAGTTTGACAACCCAAGTATAAACATACATGGATGGTTTTGGTGTTGTTTGTTTTTTGTTATTCTCTTAACAGTTATTACCAATTAATTATGGAAAATTTGAAAACCACCAATTTTTTACTTGGGTCTTTTTAGAGGATCTAACTTAAGGTGATGGTTTTCTTGAAATATTAAATTAAATTTCTGCTTTAAGAACAGGCCAAAGAGAAGTCGTTTGCTTAATATGTTCAGTTAACTCTACTGTCTATACATTTAGGTATGTTTTTCCAGTGGATCCTATGTGCTGCTATATGGACAGTCTCCCTTGTGGTGAACATCATTCTGAACAGTCCTAAGTTTTGGCCTCTTGTTATGCTGGGAGGAGCTATTTGGGCTACTGGTAATAACCAATTATATAATATGCACTTAATATAGCATTTAATAATTACTGCTTGAGAAATAGAACGTATGCACCTGACATACAATCAGTTTTACTTATGTGTCATTGTGTTTGTGTGTCCCTGTAGGAAATATAACAGTAGTTCCTATTGTAAAGACTATTGGACTTGGTCTTGGTCTTCTTATATGGGCTTCATTTAATCTGCTGTTGGGTTGGGCCAGCTCACGGTAAGCAACATTTGCTTTCAGAATGCACTGGAAGAATTAAATCATGTATTATTTTATAATGCCTTTGAACCATGCTGGCAAAATGAATCACAATTTTCAAAAATGTTAATTGTAATAATTAAAGTTTTGGTTAATTTCAAAATAAAGTATATGTTGTTGGAATCAGACAATAAAATAACTGAGCTACAGCAAAGTTGATGTTGAAGAACATCCAGTTACAGTTTTCTAACGGTTTCAATATAAAATCAACATGCGAGGATCTAGTAATGTGTACCTAAATAATGTAACATACTGAAGTTTTTGTGTTTACTTGTACATGTCTATATGTGTGCTTGTGTTTATGTTCTTATACCCAAACTATAATTTTTTTCCCAATATTTGCATTTGTGTGTATTGTAAATGTTTTAATAACTTGGGCTCACAAACTCACATTGACTCTTTGCTGATGGTTCAGGTTTGGCTGGTTCGGTATTGGTGCTGAAACTGTTTCCAAACCAGTGCTGAACTACTGTGGAGCAGGTGTATGTTTATTTAGGTAAATGTGCACAGACTGACATTCAAAGTTAATAGTACAGGAAAATGCTGTTTTACTTTTAGGAATACTTTTGAGAATATACAAGATGTGTACACTGAATGTGACAAAATGAAAGAATTTTATGTTATTTACCATATGTGAAACTGAAATCTAATCTGAAATAGATTTATTTATATATATATATATATATATATATATAAATGTTTTATTTTTCTAAATAAATAAAGTTGCTGATGTGGCAATAAACAAACAAACAAACATGATAAAAGGATAATTGAGGACATTATTTGTCTGTCAGAAATGTGCTTTTTGCAACATTTCCAGTTAATAGCAAATTGACTCATTATTATAGCTACTATTATATTTAGTTTCATTCATATATGGTGTTAAATCTTATAATTATAAATAATATCTGATCTTTTTTTCTCCTCTGTATATGTGTCTACAGTGCCATTGTATTTTTCTTTGTGAAGACCGATGTTCAAAGATCAACAACATCTGAAGAAACACCGCTACTAATAGACCATGTATGTTTACCCGTTTTAAATGCTGTAGATCACAGGTGTCAAACTCAGTTCCAAAAGGGCCACAGCTCTGCACAGTTTAGTTCCAACCCTAATTAAACACACCTGATCAAACTGAGTCCTTCAGGCTTGTTTGAAACAGGTAAGTGTGTTGGAGCAGGGTTGGAACTAAACTTTGCAGGGCTTCGGCCCTTTTGTAACTGAGTTTGACACCCCTACTGTAGATGAAATCTAATTTAAAGAGCCCTTTAAAAATTGACATCGTATACAGGAAATATTTTATCCTCAATTGTAATAGTTCTCCAAGATTTCCTTTTTGAACAATGGTTTAACCAATAAAATAAATTTCTCCTGAAGGTAGTCAACGCAGAATCTGTGGTGGCAACAGATGATTCTTGGGTGGATGCATTAAGCCCACGCATGAAACGTTTCGTGTATGTACACATCACACTTAAATACTGGTTAAATTATTTAATTTATGTACATTGTATCAATGCCGTGGGACAAAGGAATTATTAAAATGTTTTTAGGTGTAAGAGCAATTTGCGACAATACTGCCAGGGATGGGATGAGAACAAACCAAAATAAACAGGAGCTGTAAATACCCTGCTACTTGTAATTGAAGATAAAATAACAAAATGAAGCATTATAATTCCTTTATAAATTTAAAAAAAACTTAACAAGCTTTATTTTAATTGAAATAAAAGAAAAACAAATAAAAGACAATAAAAATGAATGTACAAACAAACAAACATAACTAAAAAAGCAATGTTTTAGCCTAAATTTAGAGATGTACAGTATTTGTTAATAAAAATCAAATCACTAAGCATCTTCATACAGGCTAGCTTTTCATTTACATTTTCTTTGTTGATAATATAGGCTTAGTAATAGATGTATTTATTTAGACCTATTAATGAATGTGAATTCAACAGCTTGCCAAAAGATTTTTATTTTCGAAGGGCCTGTGTTGTGCAAGTTTACCATAGGCCACAAATAGCCTAGCCTACTAAATTGATGATTTCATTTTAGAAATAAATACTTTTTTTTTAAAGTCTTTATTAATGTACACAAATAAAAAAAAAGAATAATTAAACAGGCCAAAATAATTCTTTATTTAAAGACTATAGGCCCATCGTTCAAGTTTACCATAGAATGACGGTTTGTTTAGAAATTTGCCATATGAATATTCTGTTTTCATTTTATATCTGTATATGTTTTTATACAGCATCAAAATCTACCTTTTAAGAGTAAATGTTTGTGTACGTTTTGTACAATCTCTGAATACAATACAATTAATAAAAATATAATCTCCACACTAATACAATATGTAATAGAATAATGCATTTATAAATATCTGTTATGTGTTGCAGTGGATCATTCCTTGCTGTTGTTGCTGGACTGCTGTACGGATCATCTTTTGTTCCAGTTCTGTACATAAAAAATCATGCATCAGATCCAGACAGCCCATACAATGGGGCTAGCCAATTTGGTACATTTAGATTTAATTGAATTCAGCATTGGTTGAATTAATTAAATATGAACTATAATGAAATTTGTGTATGTCTATCTTGTAGATCTGGACTACGTATTTGCACAATATAGTGGGATTTTCCTTGCTAGTACCGTGTATTTTCTTCTGTACTGTGCCATCAAAAGAAACAAGCCTCAGGTGTTTCCTAAAGCAGTTCTGCCAGGTAACGCCATCACTATCCCTGGAGTTGTTTATCTGCTTTCTTTTCCTCATACCTCTGTATTCTTGATGCTATTTTGTGCATGATTTCCTGTGTAGGATTCCTTTCTGGCATCATGTGGGGTGTTGCTACGTGCTGCTGGTTTCTGGCCAACCACTATCTCAGTGCTGTAGTGAGCTTCCCCATTATCACCACTGTGAGTGGCAGATCTTTAAACATACAGCTGTGGAAAAGAGACCGTTTGAAAGTTCTCAGTTTCTCTTAATTAGTGATTTAAAGTTATAATTTGAGTAAAACAATGTTAGTTTTATTATGTAAACTCATGACACTGATGACGTTTCGTAAAATAAAAATTGCTTTATTTATATAAAAACATTTTACATAAAATTTGGCATATTTTCAGCCGTTTAAACTAATTTAAGAAAAAAAAACAATATTATTTTAACAACATTATAACTTATTTAACTAATACTTTTACTTGCATTAAAAACAATATTTGGTAAATTAACCCTGATATTCAGTTACAACAAATAAAAGCATTTGTTATTTTGACCAATTGCCATTTTCTTTAAAAAAGAAATGTTCTTATAAAACTTTTTCGACTAAATGTTTTTTTCTTAAGTCCATATGTAATAAATTCAATAATTTCTGACAAACTGAGAATTTTCAAGTGATCTCTTAATTTTTTCAATAATATGTAACGTTTGACTCTTTTCAGGTTCCTGGACTGATTGCAGCTCTTTGGGGTGTTCTGGTGTTCAAGGAAGTGAAGGTAAACACTTATGTGTATGATAGGGGTGTAACAGTACATTTAGTCATTTGGCAGACATTTTTGCCCAAAGCGACTTACAGTTGAGGAGATATTTAGCAAATCAACACGAAGCAGTAGTAGTACGCAGAGGAAGTTGAAATTGTACAAATCTTCATGTTTGGTGTGTAGTTCACCCAAAAATGGCAATTCTGTTACTTGTTACTCATCCTCATGTCGGTTTCATCCCAAGACTTTAGTTTCTCTTTGGAACAGAAATATTAAGATGTATATAGATGAAATACGAGAGCTCCCTCATCCTTCATAGATAGAAATGGTCATTAGATGTTCGAAAAGGAATCAAAATATTGTCAAACTACTCTGTGACACCAGTTGTAACAAAATGAGGCTACATCATGAACGATTTTTGTGTGCCAATAACCTATTAAAAATTGAATGTCACAGGAGCGTTGCTGTTTATCGAGGATGAGGGAGCTCTCAGATATAATTAAAAATATTTTAATTTGTGTTCTGATAATAAGCCATGGTCTCGGGACTGAAACGACACCCTCAAGTAGTAACAGGGTTTTTATTTTTGGGTGAACTAATCTTTTAATCTGAAACTAAAACACAAAAATACCATAATATATTTAAGAAACAAGCGGAATGAACATACTTTTTTATCTGATAAACAATGTTAAAATCAATGTTATTCTCCTTTGAAAATGTGTGTTCCGTGTCAGACCGTCTGTCTTTGTTTTGGTCTGAGTAACTCTTCCAGTTTATGCAATTATATTTCAGCATCCTATTTAGCCATGGTGGGAAAACAGTGTATATTATTTCAGCCAAAAAGTCTCTCAGTTTATCCAGGCACGGTTGAAGATGTAACCCCTGGAAGACTGTAGCAGCCTTGGAAATGCCTCAGATTCATCGTTAGAGGGGTTGGCTGTAGAGATGCGCGGTTGCCGGTTATAGCCGCGGACTCCGCGGATAAACCGCGGATCGGGCGGATGACGTTACGAAAAAATAATATTTTAATTAAATTCGGGCGGGTGGCGGGCGGTTGTACTGTTTTTATAGGCATAGCTGGCGCACCAACGAAAAAGCCTAGGACTGACTTCACAGAATGGGAGGAGGAATCGGATACACTAATTCTGGATGAAGTACAGAAGTATTCCTCTACAAACTTCCGTATAGACGGATCAGCAGAGGAAAATCTACTTCCTTTTGGGAGAAATAAGGCCAGGCATTCCCACGACTACAGCACCTTTCCAAGAGAATTCTATGCATTTCAGGAACAAGTGCTGCGAGCGAGCGCTCCTTCATTGCAGCAGGGCGCAGTGGCTATGCAGGCGCTCCCGTCTAAATCCTGACACTGTAGATGCTATTTTATTCCTGCATTGTGCCAAGAAAAAATCTAACTAGACCTAAGGTCAGGCATATTAAACCAATTAGCCTATGTTATTTAGGCTACACATATGTTCAATATAAACTTTTGAGTTCGGTCAGCTGATAATTTTACGTTCATATTGGTTTAGCCTATTCTATTCTAGACATGTTGGCCTCGCTTTTACGTTCCGAGGCTAAGGTTATTTTGCCAGAATTTCTTTGTCGCAACTGGCGTAGTATTTTGTTATGCTTCAAGTTTGAGGGGAATGGGGATAATCCTAAATCCATGGGTTATTGGGGCACTTGTCATACATGCACTTAGCCTGGTCAGACTTTATGTTCGCTCAAAGAGGGATGGCATATCTATTTTTCTAATTTATTTTCTAATTGTTGGGGTGAATGAGCCTACAAGGCTTAGGCACGATATGACGTTTTTATTAAATTTTTTTTTAACTGTTTGCCAAAGCATGCGACTATAGCCTATGCCTACATTAAGATATTTATGTTAATATTTTTTTACTGCCTGTTGTTTCTTTTGGCATATAAAATAGGTATTGTCTGATAGAGATATCAATAAAGGTTCATCTGTGTCGCAGAACTGGTGTTGTTTCCGATTTTTACAAGCTCAATAACATCCACAGCAAAAAATAATAAATAAAAAAATAGTCGAAAAACTGTGCCCATTAATTAGATGTGCAAGGCAATCAGGTACGTTTTTGGGGTTGCTATGGACAACTACAAATGTAAACATTATTAGGCTATAATGTAAATGACTTATTATTCTATCTATTTACTAAAAAATAAAGTGAAATAGGCATTTAGTAGTAGACTAAATAGCAGCATGTTGAAATGATGTGTCAATGCGTTTTCTATTAGGCTACAATAAAAAAAGTTGTATAGTACAGTGCGTTTAATTTAGGCTATTTATTTACTTTTGTCCCTGTGCGCCGATTGGAGACGGAGTTCACTGCTGATATTCTGAGAGCTCGGGTGCTTCTCATTTCTTATTTGTGCATCCTCGTTTCCTTTCCTTGCTTTCTTTCCTCGTGTTTCCACCCCACCGGGATACGAGGGAAGGACGCAAGGAAAAGACTCAAGGACCGAGGAATCGAATCAAGTGAAAAGACACGTCCTCGTATCTTTAGCGTCACTTCAAAGCGTGGTCAATTAATGATTTGCACGTTTGGATTAACTGCATGTCTACATTAAAGTCATTCTCTGTTCTATAATGATCAATAAAGAAACATTCATTTAATAATAAAAAGGAATAAGCCATTCAAATAAAGAGCCCAATCAGCAGATGGCGGGCGGGTGCGGTTTTAAAAATTGGTCAAAAATGTTACTGCGGATGGATGGCGGACGGATGATGAATTTTGTCATGCGGTTGCGGATGAAATAATAGCCCACCCGCGCATCTCTAGTTGGCTGACAAAAAAAAAAAAACCCTCTTCGATATTTTGAATTTGGATTGCAATACCTAGTTCAACCACTATGTATTAAATTCTACATAATGCACCTTTAAATCCCACGACTATGCTCTCGGAAACTATTAAACTACCCATCAGTTTGTCTCTATACAGTCATTTGTATAATCAATCTACCTCCAATATATTACATTGTTTAGAAAATTTTTTTTTTTTTCTTTGTAACCTCCAATAAATATTGCTTACAAGCTTCTGACACCTCTCTACTGAAATCTTGGCCCATTTCTTGCTAGGAAAAACTTCCATGTAGGGTTGTAACGGTATGAATTTTTTACGGTATGATAATCGTCTAAAACAATACCACGGTTTGACGGTTTCGCGGTATACGGTATTAAATAGTAATTCTCATAGCAAAGACCCTGAAAAGAATAAGAACACGTTTTCTGACTGAACAAAGGTTTTATTTCAACAAACTTTTGAAAGAACCATTTTAATAGACCTATAGAAGTCTTTTATAAAAATAAACTGAAAAATCTCCCATTTTAATAAATTAAATTAGAAGGAATAAACAAGCAGGGTCTTTTAAGATTAGACAAAAATAAACTTAAACTGTCCTTCCTTATAAGCAGGATAAATGGAGACCAAAAGTGCAATACCAAGTTTATGGCTGTAAACATGTATTTAAAGCGTTGTTTTTTTCAGTCTAGGTTGTGATGAAGAAATGTAAGCATGTTGAGATTTTCAGGACTTAATCTTGACCGCTGAGGTGAGAGAATGTGTCCACTTGTACAATGAACAAATAAAAAAATAATAAATAATGTGTCAAAGTCCAAATAAACATGGTGCAAATCCTCAGTAAAAAATAGATATAAATATTTACTATACTATAAATAGTTACATGACGAAACTAGATTCAATATGGAACATCCTTAGGTTTTATGTGCCAGCATGGATATGGTTGTCTGTGGATATGGATTTGGATATGGTTGTCTGCAATGCAGACAAACAGCTGCACCTTCATTTGAGTCTTTTGAAAACAGCAAGAGCAGCAGTTCGTCTTTGCTGTGTCACTGTTTTGTCATGTTTCTGTGCTGCTGTGCATGCAAAAGTACTTAGTATGAGAATTATTTCATGCAAAACTTTTTTTTTTTTGCGTTTTATTTAGCCGCGCAGAAATGTATGCCTATCTCTCATTCCGTGTTGTTCAAAAAGCTCAGTGTTGGTCCACAAACAAAAGTGAAACCTATGCTTATTGGTTGTGATATTGCGAGTTTGAACCAATCTGGGCATGGAGGAGGGACAATGCATCAATGTATCATGTCTGGTTTGTCCGCACAGTGACGAGCGTTTCTTTGTCAAATCAGCGTTGTCAAATTTTGATGACGTAACCGCACTGATTCCGGAGCCTCTGAAAGTCCGTGAATGTGATACAGCACTGGAAAGCTGAGATTCTCTTCTTTAAGCCAATCTTTGAATTGTATGAATCGGATCAGCGGATCAAAAGTTATTAAACATTTAAGAGCAATACTTATTTTTAGCCGCGGGCGGCTGTCTCGGTCTTTAAGGGTTAAAACCGTTGATATGCAATTGTTCATGGTATGATAATCGTGCATGTTCAAATCGTGGTAAACCGTCATACCGGTATATTGTTACAACCCTACTTCCATGTGATAATCAGGTTTAAAAACAACAATTTCAACAACAACATGTGTGACTTGATTTGAATGTAGTTTTGGGGGCATTTTTATGTACTGTTACACCCCTTGTATGGTGGATAATTTCCAATTCCTCAAAGCATCAATTGCTTTTATGTAACTCTGCATCTCATCCTCTTTTTCCTTTCTCCCTCAGGGTTGCCGAAATTACATTGTCCTCATTTTTGCGTTCTGTCTGGTTCTATCTGGGGCATTAATGACTGCATTTTCAAAGATCTAAATCTTTTAAGGGCAAGAAATGCACAGAACACATTTTATTCTAGTTTTTCTTTTAAACCATATTTTAATAACTTTTGAAAGCTGCAAATTGGAAATGTATTATGTGGTTATTACAGGTAATACAGCTACAAGCTAAAACATACTGAAGAAAACATTATTGTATTTATCAGAAAGGGATGTGGTCCTTAAACTTGAAATGTTACTGCAACAGCAATATTCGCACATGTTCTGTTTATGTTATTGGGAACCTAGTTCCCTGTATTTTAATTTTATTTGCAATAGCACACTTTTTTCTGTGTTTACACTATAATAGACCTCACTGTACTTTTGCATATAATGGTTAGTGGTTTCTATTATACAGTAAGATTCAGTGGATCTTATTTCACAGGACTTACTTAATACATTTTTGAAGAAGAATATGAAGTCTATTTTAATTTTTGTATTTAATTTAATGCACTGTTTTTCTTGGTAAAAAACATGTTGACCTTTTAACCCACTTTTTATTTATTTCTAATTATTCTGAATGGAAATTCATAGCACTGTAGTGGCATTTTTACTGTAATAACATTACAGTACAGTTTAGTTTTAAAGTTTCAGCACTATATAATAATTATTATTTTTTCTTTCTGAATTTCTGAAACTGTATATAATATTAGAGGTAAATGTCATGAGTTTCTCCATGAAAAAAAGTTTAGAAAATCTTGTGGTTTTTTTCTTTACTGCTGCCAAAATGTCAAAGGCCTTTGTTTTATATTTGATAATTTTTTTTGTACTTTTTTCTAAAAGGGAAATAAAGGGCCCTATCATACACCTGGGGCAATAAGGTGCAAGATGTCTTTCTATGACGTGTTGCTATTTTTTTTTTTTTTTTTACCATAATGTTCCCGTTTTCCGCCACGTTATTTAAATAGCAAATCCATTTGCGTTACTTTGTGGACTCATGGTTGTTCTGGTCTATATAAGAGGTGTGTTAAGGCACATTGCTGGTACGTTGCTGTTTTGAGAAACTAAAATAGACTGCACAAGAGACCAGCTGAGAGCAGGTCTAAAGTCCAGAAGATGAGACTCTGATTGGTTTATTCTCAAAACACACCTATAACTCATTAAGAGAATAAGCTCAACCCTGTTAGACTATGTGCTGCAGCGCAGATCATATTTCTTCATCCTTAAAATAGCAAAAGTGGATTCTGACACACCCTAAATGCTTTTGCACCCTGCGCTTTGGACTTTGCATCTAGATTGTTAAAATAGAGCCCAAATACTCAAATACAAGAGTGAGCGAATCGGTGTGTAGTTGGATGAAACTGATCAGTTGTGCTTATATCAATATAAAAACGTATGAATAGTAAAGTATCAAGCACTGGATATAAATAAGAAACACATATGCCAGATCAAAGAAGACCAAAGAGAACTTTAAAAAAATCTGAAAATGTATGACAAAATGTTTATTTTAAACTGTACAAAAAAAGAATAATAAAATTGTAAAATATAAACAAAAAATGTTCTCACCTAATTCAGATCAATATAACTCCTCAACAGAACATTTTCTAATTAAACTAATGAATTCTTAAGTTTTCTTATGAAGAAATATAAAATAACTTTGATTTCTTCAAAACCTAACACTTTCATGAGGAATATGTGGTAATAATGTTATTTAGTAGCTCTTGAAGCACACTGTAACATACCAAGGGCTTCCTGTACCATTTGCAGGGAGGGAGAGGAAAAAGTGTCCCATTGAGCACCGTCTAAAGCAGGTTTTGGATCTCTGTAAATACATTAGTTTGGTTTCATTGGAGCGGGGAGGTTGGCTGAGGCCTGCTCTAGGAAGGCCAGAGGACCCTGTGGCAGTTCTGTGGGCTTCTTGTGCTGAACGTTGATGTCCTCCAATACCTGCTGCCAATGATGGATCTTGGCGAGGTGTTTCTGAATTAGCATCTCTTTTCTCTGGAGTTCATTCTTCAGTTCTGATGCATCCTGGGAGGTTTAACAGAACATACATTTTATTGTACACATTTCTGATTGAGTTTTGAAATGTTTTGCAAACAGACTCCAGATATGTTTTGATCCAATCTGTTTTAAAGCCTGTGTCTTTTCCATTTCACTAGCATGCATTATTATTCTTCAGCTAAACAATTAATCCATGAAAGTTAATCCCCATTTGCTTCTGCAGTTAAAGTGGTGGTCCTTAAATGTTTATGACAGTTTGATGACTTCAGCCACAGTGTTCTTAGCAACGCCCCAAACCGCCAGTTCGCTATGAGGGAACAATGTGCAAAAAGAAAGCCCAGCCCCCTACTCATTATTTCATTTCAGTTCAGTTGGAGAGAGTTTTAAATTTATTGCCATGTCAGCTTCTCTGGCTACTTTATGGCAAAACCAGGTCAAATTTATACATTTTCTATAATAGTAAAAAAATAAAAACTAATGATAACATTAAAAAGACATCAACTGCAATAAATAATACATAAGATAAAAATCTAAAGCACTTTAAGGTTTACTTTTGATAAAAAGTCTACCAAATTTGAAGAATTTGCATTTAAAAATATTTCCTTTAAAATCTCCAGACCAAAACGTTGACTGATAACATTAAAAATAGGGCATTCTAAAAGTATATGTATAACACTTTGCAATATTGACATTTTGGGGGAGCTTCTCCTTTAAATAACTGTCAATACATGAGTCTTGAGTGTCCGATACAGCATCTTGTGTTAACAACCCCATTAGATCTTAAAACAACTATCTGCTTTTCTTCCTACTAATAGCTGGATTCCAAAGAGTTAATTTTGTGAGCTCTATAGCCTTTTCTGTTTCCATTTAAAACACATCAACGTATTGAAATAAGTCTCTTCACTCTGACTTTATAGTAAAATAATAGGAAAAGTAGCAAATATTTTGAGGAATTGTCATATATTGCATTAAAAAAGGTGTTTGAATTGTTTTATTTCTGTTTTTAATGTCAAACATTTATTCCATTTGGAAGCTCTATCAAATGAAATAACAGGAACATAGTTTACTGTATTATGCTGTATAAAGTTGATGATTAAGTATTTAAAATAGTTTTAAAAGTAGTTTTGGTTTAGATAATGCTGGATTGTATTTTAAAACTTCTGTACATATGCTGTAAGTGCATAGGTATACCTCTTTTTCCACCTGTTCTGGTTTCTGTACAGAGAGCTGTAGTCTCTTCTGAAGAAAGAAACATTCAGTCTGTCTGGCCACATCCAGAAACTTCTGTATACACTGATCAACCCCTGAAATACACACACAAAATAAATAACTGTAAAAAATTATTATTATTTTTTTAATGCACTGGTCGAGTTTTTGGGCGATATTTTTTCATAGCATCTTCTTTCAGACTATTGGAAAGAAATGACTTCAAAATTACCAATTGTTTATTTGTGTCTAACGTTTAATTACAATCATTGTTGGGTAAGCTACTTCAAAAATGTAATTAATTACTAACTAGATAATTAAAAATGTATTTTAAATTTAAAGTCGGAAAAGTAACTTAAATGCTCACTATTTAAGTACTTGACTCAACCCTACTTAAAATCCCAGTAAATCTTACACATAGACGATATAAACTAAACATAATTCTGTACATTTGACCCAAACAGGATCTTTTAGATCCCAAAAATGGATCTTCGAATAATAAACATGTATCAAAACATTTAAAAGCAATGACACAATATTTTATAAATACCATATATTTAAGGCATGTAAATTATATAAGTAACTAATTAAATTACCTAAAAATGAAAAGTAATCCCTTAACATTTTCAGTAGAAGAGTAATTACATTTAGACCGTTTGTAACTACACATCACACTGATTACAATACATATATAAATTCATCTTGCTAGCTCTCACGTGGTTTCCCACTGAAGATATGAAGAGATCACAGGAAATGAGGAAGAATACAGTTCAGATGTTTGTTCTGAATCATTGTGAAAAAGTTTTTTTTTTTTTTTTTTTTTTTACCGAATTTTCATATTTAAACAACAATTCAGAAAATATGTTGTTCAAAAATGTATAAGTAATACTGCATTTAATGACAGCATGACATTAGCTAAATGGTCATCTGTGATGTTGTTGCGGATTACTGTAAACTGTAGTATTTGAATATAGTCCACTGGTATTGGTGTCCAATATCATAAAAATTAACACATTTTTGGAGCACAGACGAATAAAAACATCTCTTTACCAGTTCGAATTTCTTCCTGGTCAGTTCCATTGACATAGTCTTGGCTGACAAGAGATGCAAAACACGCCTGGCAGAATTAAAAACACACATTAAAGTACATTATAAAACACAATATTAAACAGTTACACCGTAGATTATACAAAAGAACATAGGATTATAGTGAAAAAATAAACTAACTCGCCCTATTAACGGTCTAACGGTTATAATTTCATCAACAGCCAAGTAAATAATTTATTAATCGCGTACATAAAACTCATACGTGTGTGTGTGTGTGTGTGTGTGTGTGTGTATGTATGTATGTATGTATGTATATATATATATATATATATATATATATATATATATATATATATATATATATATATATATATATGTTTAAACAAACATTAACAAAGGTTTAGTGTGACTGCAGTTGCACCAATGTTATGTTAGCAGAAAAAGTTTACGTGAGCTCTTTACCTCGAAAGAAGCTTCCAGCTCATCCACTAAAGTGTTATTCGCCCCTCTGTTACCGGGAGTACCAGTGAGGAGCCCTGGCTGACCTGGACCACCCGGACCCGGAGGTGGATGAGATCCAGGAGGCTGCTGACCGGGGAACATTCCGCCTATGGACGACGCCATTTTCCCTAACAACAAGCTCTTTTCCTCGTGTGCGGCAAAGCACTCTTTCCAAATGTGAAGTGCCGCCATCTGTTGTACAATGCGTGCAATGAAAGTCATGTAGGCCCAGGTTTGTGCCAGTTTATCATCTAATAGCGAAATAATGTGTTTAATTAAACAGATTTGTTTATAGAGCCATTTTGATTTTCTCAGAATTAATAATATAGCCAATGCTAATACATAATTAACAGACCCAGTGGCAGTTCTAGACCAGAGTAACTTAGGGAGGGCATACATCACAACATGCATTCATGTTCATACATTGTGATCATACATCACAAACCACATCTTTTTACAATTATTCGAAGTCATTTTTTTCATGCATCACTCTGCAGTCTTCATAAACCAGCTAATTAAAAAACTACTCAAAATCCTCTATATATAATCTTCCATGTTATCTATTTGACAAGTAACTTTGTGTGTGAATGAGTGTGTACCATTGTGATGTTGTGTTCATTTCGCTGTGGCGATCTCTAATTGATAAAGAGACTAAGCCGAAAAGAAAATTAACGAATGATTGAAATTGGTCATAGTGTATGAGAGTGAATGTGAGTGTGTGTTTCATAGTACTGGGTTGCATCTGTAGGGGCATCCGCTGCTTAAAACATGCTGTAATAAAAAAAAAAATTTTAAATAAAAAGAAAGAAAGAAAGAAAGAAAGAAAGAATAGCCTACGTTTCCAGTTGAGGTGAAATGTTGAACTCTCAGAAGCAGCTGAAATTCTCTCGTGGTCAAAAAAAAGTAACTGTACTTCACACTGGATTTTGGAGCTGAATCATCTGTCATACTGTAATACACTTCGACAGGTGGATGCAGGTTGGGGTCCAGATCAGCAGGTGACATGAATCCAGGAGTCCCACATTTGGTCGGCGCCTGTATACTATATGTAGCAAAGCAGGACATGATGAAAGTTAAAAAGGTTGTGTTGGTGGTTATAGAAGTCTGT